ATCACATTCCTATTAGTTTTATTAACAGCAACTGATAGAATTCTATATGTCATCACGAAAATTCATTTTCAATCGCTGTTCTTGTTTCGTCATTTGTGTGATTGAGTAATTTTTGGATGAATGTAAATTTAGATTGCGAAATCCAACGCATTTACTAAGCAAGTCTGAATGAGAAGCATATCTAATACAGCAGGCACTGAAAATTTTTCTATCAATATCATTTCAGAACACTTGCCGTTAGGTTGATTGTCCTTTGATGAGGCAGCAACCATGTCAGACTCTGACCTCTGCAGCTCAACATGATGTTGTCGATCAGGCTTAAAATAACCTCTGCGAATAAAATAAGTCAGGCTCAAGATTGGCAATCGTTTAGCTTTTGGAGCTTTAGGTTTTCTCTACACAGACCCAGGGAGCAACTGCTCTACTTTCCAAGGCCTCTCCCATGAAGCTCTCCCATGAAGTTAAGTTTATATCATTCTTCCGCGTAGTGCCATGGCGCTGTCCAGCTGAGAATTTGTAATTTAAGAAACGCCACCCACTTTTAAAATTTCTCTTTTTTTTTTTTTTTTTGCTGAAATGAAAACGAGACTGGGCACGCTAGAACATCAATATCTTACTTCCAATCTCTCCCAGTGGTTGACTGTCCACGAGTGGGTTTCTGTCGTTCCCTGCGCTTCCTCATCCAACAAAATATGGTCAGTCCACAAATGATGATCCCAGTAATGAAGACTCCTACCACAGCCCCAACCACGGCGCCACTGTTTGTAGCTATGAGGCACAAGACATTAGCATTTTGCAATTGACAACAGAAGGCTAATCCTTTTGAAGATTTTGAAACCAGTAACTCCTTTACATTTGAAACCATTTTGTGACCCAGAGCTGAACTGGAAGAATTTCTTTTCCTTTTGGCGTGACTCTTCATGACCCTAAACATTCTAACGTCTCGCCAACATTCAAAGGGATGCTTGCCAAACAATGTCTCTTTGAGGAAAAGGGGTAGTCGTTGGGAAAGAAGGCAGTTATACCCCTCCCTCGTTGTAAGCCACTGTGCATAGTACTTTACAACTTGTTCGGCATTTTGATCAATTTCTCATCTAAGGATATACCCAGCCTGCTCGCTCAAGGGAACCGCAAACTTCAAGGTTATCAATGTGACAATGCCATCCACTCATAATGTGACGTCACTGGACTAGTGACGTACCATATTGGGAGACACGTCGTAAGGTATTAAACATTCTGCTGGCTTCCGGCCTGTGCTACACATTTTTCTTTCTTAGAGAATACGTTAATTTCCGGCATGTTGAACTCGGGTACTGTTCCACTGCTTATCGATATTAACCAAAACAAAATAAGGGAAATTAGGTACAGGCCTCTATTCCTGCAATATGCCTCAAAGTATCAAAATCAATGTTCATATTTAAAATGCAGCCTGTCTGCAATTTTACGCTCACCTCTCTTTTTAAATTATATTTTAATCTTTTCTTTAATCAAGGGTATTTTTCATTAGTTAATGCTTATAATAGTAAAATAAAAATTATAAACAAATATACGTTACTTAGCACAGGTTTTCCTCCAAAACCCCAAAACAATTATAAAGAATGTAGTGGATATACCGGCCGGTGGTGACTTGGTTGTAGCCGGTGATTTGGATGGTGCTTTTGTCGTGGGCTCAACGTAGCCTACAAAAATATCAGAGAATAACAAAAGTGGTGATAGAAAAGGAAACGGGAGAACGAGGTGAGTCACGTGATGATTCGAAAATCAGAAATGAGAAGTAAAAGTTAGCACAGCTGTGCCGGGAAATACTCATCGCAACAGCTTCGTCCAGGTAGAATTAGCATCTATGCAAACTGTAAACAGAGGGACACAGACAACTCCCACTTTCCTACAACTTTTATAGTGACCAAAGTTTGCGGAATATCACCTTTGGGTTGATTTTTCGACTTCACCTCCAACGTGTTCAAAATGAAAATTTGTCTCATGGATTTTAATGGCATATGTTCTCTTAGTACAGTAACTGGTGCATTAAAAGTACATGTACGCGTACGATATCACAGAGAGTGATTTGAAACATTACATTCAAAGCATTTTGTGAAATTGGTGGAGAATTGCTGTGCATTGTTAACTTAAAACTATAGCAGAGAAAACTTGACAAAAAGAAATCTGTAAATGAATACCTTGAAGTAATAAAAAGGTGATGAAGAAGCATGACTTTTAAGAAACATTTCAGAAATTCCCACTATTTTATTTGGTTGAGCAAACCTCTTTTCACATCAGTTGTCGAAGATGATATATTTTAAATATTGCAAGAATATCACGAAAGCCTATTCAGTACTTGAAATGTATTTGTTTGGGGGGGAGGGATTTACTTCAGCCTACACCATATATACCTAAACATGAAGACGATCGAGAAAAATATGTGCAACACTGATGGGCCACCCAGAATTATGGAATGTTCTGCTGATTTTCAATTTCAGCTTTATAACTTAATATAAAGCAAAACACTGGTGGAATTAGATTGTCGAGGGCAACACAGGGATTACTTACCCGGGCATATTTCTTCAGGAAAAGTTGCCGTTCCCGTTCCCACTGTGTTCGTGGCATTGCAACTGATGACCGTGCAGCCATCTACTGGAGTGAATGGATGAGATCCCCGGCTGGTCGTGAATTCCTTCACAATGTTAGTACCGTTCAGGATGATCTTATGACTGGTAGCCAGTGGGTTGGCATCCGATGAGCAAGTTATCACTTTATTATCATATCTGACTGAGACCACTGGTACATCTGCAGAAAAAATAAATAAAACGCATACGGGAACACAGTTGGAGTTGGAAACAAAGTGAACATTCTCAGGAATACATACATAGGGAAAGCTGGCCTCTATCAAAAATTCTACACAAAAATTCTATACAAAATTAAACCACAATCGCTTTCCACAGATGCAAAACAACATGTATGATTACAACTCTACAGGTAGGCTAAATCAACCACTTGTAATATTTTCAAACTGTTCACGTACTTGTGTGATGTCTGCAGGACCGATTCTCATTGAAAGGTCCTAAACAAAGCGAAAGCTGCTCAAAAACGTTGGATAATTAAACCAGTTCATGGCGCACACCATTATTATTGAGGCCGTCGACTTCTTTACCATGCCGCTTTTTGCAGTGTTAAACAATGCAAGTGGGCCTATGCCAACGGCTCATCACTGCGTTTAGACGCAAAGTAATCTTCAGGAAAATTTGGCGGAATAAGAAGGCTTCCTGCAAGCACTGTGGGATGCAGTGACAAATTTAAACGAACTTCAACGTACGTACACTGAACATTGAGAGTGACGGATACCGTTTTTGCGGGGGCGACCATCTGTCCGGTTGTTCTGCATTCTAGGATGGCTTCATTGTCTTGTCGTGTTGGTGTAAACGTCAGTGTTCCTGATGAGTCAAATGTTCCATCGCCATTGTCAGTAGGTGCATCTTCACTGACACCTGTTGTTATGTGGACATCATTTTTGTACCATTCCAAGTTGACAGCAGGTCTGAAGCCCCTGGCTGTGCATCTCAGCACGCTTTCCACCGTTGCTCTCAGGATGACTGGTTTGCCCGATGAGTCTCCATCAATTGTGACTGCATCGACATTTCCTTCAACTGGAAATGAACGATGTTGGGTAAATGGGGATTGTTACTCTTAAATTTAACAAAGAACCTGTTAACCATATGGCACATTTCAGTCTCCTGCTATAATGTCAGTTGGCAATTGACAATGTTTCATCTCAGCTGGCTGTCAATTATATTCGCCCTTGTATGAGAAACCAATTTTGGATATTTTTTCTTTCAAGTCAGCTAATGCTTCAGTTCCCATTCAAATAATTTACAGGATCCTTTCGTCTGAGTTGACTTTGTAGGGGTAAATGCATGGGAAGTGATTGCAAATTCCAAAGTGTGGGTAGTAAACTCCAAAAATAAACTAAATATTCTCTGCAGATTACAGATACCACATTATTCTTGGCCTGCGTCAGCTCAAGTCTTTGTCACGGGCGCAAAGTTACTAGCGTACGTTTCTACTTACTCTCAGCCTTTAGAGTTGCAGCTGCACTGTTTGGTGTGATTTCACATTCATATGTTCCCTCATCTGAAACCTGAACATTGCTTATTTGTAAGTCCAACTGGGTCGTTGGTGTCGATGATGATGTGATGACGCCAAAGTTGTCATATTTGGCATTAGATCCAAAGACACCTCCCTCATTGGCGAATGTAACTCCTTCACTCCACTGGGTGAGACCTGGCCCTGTGTAGTCAGGGTTTCTACAGTACAGTGTTGCAGTTGTTCCACGCAAGGCAGACGTGTCTTGTGGTCCAGTAAATGCCGCATCAGTGACTAAAATAGATTATAATATAAAACAGGGCACGTCATGACTAAAGGTGCACTGTAGGACATATATTTGATGTAAGTCTGAGAAATAAAACGAATATGGGCAAAAATGAATCTCATTGTTTGGGCCCAGAGGAAGGACGTACACAAAAACGGAATTGCCACGACATGACAGCCTCCACAGGGTTCTACTGAGTGTAAACTCTCATATACGATAAAATACAGATCCAATAATTACAACACATATTATCAGAATCCTATTTGTTTGATCAAACATGTTGATTGTTCGATTGTTATGTGTATCATAAATATGACACCGTCTGCGAATAGCAGTTGGTTAACTTTGCCAAACAGATGAACTTTTGATTTACGTGTCGTTTATACGTGTTTTACACGTGAATTGCATGTGTTTTACCCGGGACTTCATGGGATTTACACCATTAAAATAAGCGAGTTCCTTTTTTAAAGAAAAGTAATGTAGCCTACCCCTCCCCTCAGGCTACGAGGGGCATCCCAGCAGGAAAAACACCAAGGCCAGGGTAGGCCAGGACCAATTTACATAAAACATACTTATTTTACTTTGTTCAAGCCTCCAAGAGAAACCACCAACCCTTACACTCATCACATGACCATCAAAAACCTAACCGGTCCGAGGCCAGATCCCCATGCGGAAATTCTCCGCAACTTCTCCAACACCAGCCTGATCTACTCTGCCCCCCCCCCCCGCTGGTTTCCTTAACACTCCCCCAACTGGGCAACACTAGCCCAGCTATAAAAACCCCGCATGTTAAGCTCCGTCAGTCACACAGACGAGCCTCCACACCGGGCCTGGACAGACATTTGTTCGAAGACGAATGATCGTCCCGTGCTGGTTTGTAAATCGCGCAATTAATGCTCACAAACAAATTAAGCCAAGCGTCAACCGTAGGCCACAACCAATTCAAAAAAAGGTGGATGGCAGTTTTTCACCAAAACGCAAACCCAGCGGAAGCATGTGACCAAATGGGACAAGCCTAAAGCGCGACTGGACCTAATTGGTTGTTAGCCAGTATTGCGGCCAATCAGTGACATGATTGCTGTCGGCCTTCCGCTGCTAGATTAAGCACCCTCCTTCCCCTGGCACAAAAGGGGATTTTCATCCGAGCAGCATCCGAAAATCGTATTACGGGGAAGACGAAAACGATTGTTTTAATAAGCATAGAATACAAGAGCACAGATAACGAGGATAAGCAGGCCGTGACTTGCTATTTGTCAGAGTCATTGGAATAGCGGATACAACTAGGTAATTCAAATTGGAAAAAAAGGCCAGTGGTGTATCCAAGTCTAAAGACAGGAAAAGAACTCCGTACTACCACCAACCCCCCCCCCCAAAAAAAAAAGAAGTGGTGTAATTTCTAAAGTGCAGGAGTCAACGTTATGCAAACAAATAGCATCAAGTCTCTGCGTCTCAGCAAGTTAAAGAGTGTGACAAACTATACATACTGTTGAAACAATTAAATATATAATTGAATTGACAAATTACATGTTCAAGTAATTAAATCTTAGGACATTTTATATTCAGTACTACTAAATTCATTTCTCATGCTGGGGGTAATTCCTGTGTAAATTAGATGAGCCTGTATTTATAAAAAAAAAAATCTACAATGACACTTCTAATTTCTTTCCTGTTCAGATCGGTGATACAAAAACCTCATTGACTCAGTATTCCCTACTCTTACGGTAAATTGTGTACAAAACTTGTCTTACCCCAAGAAAGTACAGCTAGGGCAAAGCAACACAGCACCTCGCATTCACGTATGCCACCGTTTCCCATACTTTGATCAGAAACTGGATAGCTGTTAATAGCTAACGGTCAATAAAAATGTAAGTGAAACAAAATCAGACGGAGTGAGCAGTAGGCATTTACAAGGAAGTAAATTAACGAAAACGGCTCTGAACTTTGAACTCTAGGTCATTGTGTATTCACCCTTGTGTGCTTCAGGATGGTTGTAAACAGCGATGAACTTTGAACAGCTATGACACATTCTAAAACCTACATTGTCCAAAACTCAGGTCTCTTTGGGAAACCGGAAAGTTTAAAACCGGATTTCACGCTATTTCGCAATCCTCCCAGAAATGATGAATTGACCCAGCGCGAGCTGAAAATTTTAATCGAGGCAATGAATAAAGGGAAACTTCTTTAATCAACATTCTTTAATAGGATAGTTGGAACTAATATCTATACTATTCCTTCAATCCCAATCTCAACCTCTGCTTTAAACATAACCGACTCTAGTCATGCATTTCCTATTCATTTTAACCGAACTAAATTCTTTGAAACCTCCAGAGGGAAGTTGAAAAACAGAGTGGTTTGTCAGAGTCTCACAATTATGCTACAGGCAGGCTATACAGTCCCCTCTTTACAATGAAATGGATTCAGATTTTCAACACTGAAGAGTTACTATCATTTCTGTCAATTCACCCATCTCCAATCCATCATACAGACCTGTGTACTGGTGACGCCGCATTTGTTTACGTAGGCTTTTACATAATGGACGTGGACCGTGGGCGCAGTCCCACTAGACTAAGTACACATTGTTCATGTTACCTGGATATCCCTCAATACAACTAAAAAAAAGCTACCTCAACTTTTTTTAGGTTGGGTCTGTAAAGATGTATGTAAAGTATATATTTGGGAAAAAATTGTTACACATCTAGCAACGATATTTGAATTATTTCAACAAAATTTTACAATTGACAAAAACCATCTTTCATACAACGGGAAGAGGTATATGTATGTACCCTGTGTAAACATTTTCACCTGTGAATCGATTAAAATTTAGTTCTCGCCTGCTTCTTTAAAATTGATTTGAAATACTAAAATACAAATGTTCCAATGTGAATTTAAGTTTACAAATGATCAATCTAAGGGAATATTGCCCTTTGAGGTTTTGTGCTTACAATTAACCGACAGAATTTTTCTACATACACTTTGATATTATGCTATGTTTTTAACTATGGGTTTGTAAAATTAGGCAGAAGACATTTTTACAAAGCCAAATGTATATCACATGTGAAATAATAACAGAAAATCAACGACAATTCTGCTGTATAGTTTAGACTTTAAGTAGAAATTCAGTAGTTCTTGTACTCATCAGCACAAAGCCCATTTAACGTATAGCATACTTTAACACAAGGGTAAGCTTTGAGATTATCTTTAACAGTTGTAACTGGAAGAAACGATCGACTTTAAAAAGCTAATCTGATCCGACTACCCACCGCTACTTATAAGTGAGGCCTGTGCAGCAACATAGCCATGCTGTAACTGTGACGCTAATATATTATCGTATCATGCAATAGAGTAGGCAAACTCATAAGTGAGGCTTGTTCCAGTGGGAATTCGGATCGGGTTGATCTGTTTAATGACTAAAGCAAAATTGCAGCAACTCTATGACGTCAGTGTTTGCCTAGTTGTTTTGTAGCGTGAATTATCTCAACTCCTACAGGCAGATGTCCTCAGAACTAATAAGACATACATAATGCCTTTAGGGGATACCGAAGATACAGAAACAAAAATTGAGAAAAAAAACATTTTCATATTTTGACTCATTTCTTTGCAGACATTCTGGATGTGGCAGTTCGATTATTCAACAACGATAACGCTGATACATCGCCCATGCGACTTTGCGTAACTCTCACACTTTCTCGTTACTGGCTTCGATCATGGTAACTTCGTAGATGCTTTCATCCAGCTTGTGAAAGGTGATGTAGTCCTGTTCATAAGAAAAGACATTTGAAGTTCAGGTTTTGTTTGGGGTGCAGGTTTAAGCTTACATTTCCGTCTTCTGATTTTGTTTGTTGGTAACTAATAATTTAATGAGAGGTTTTGGAGTTCTGCTCACCTTGTCTTCTGACAGCATGTTATTAAGTTGTTGGTAGAGACTCTGGAAGGTAGGTCGGTCCTGAGGAATCTTCTGCCAGCAGCTGCACATCATGGCGTACCTGAAAACCGAAAAAGTGTCATGAAGAAAAACCCAAGTTCTTCTACGTCCAAGATTCTCTCCTTCCACCAGGCAGCTTGAGCTGCTTTTTGGCCTTCATAAAATTGGTTTTCATAATATCTTTGGCATTTTAGAAATGCTTTGAAATCGTGAATGTAATTCCATTTTCATTCTCTTTGCCGAATGTTAATTTACCAAGTGAATTAGAAAATGGAAATTTGAAAATAACATTGAAATACAGAATAAAGCAGATATAATAATACGAGATATGGTTGATACTTTGCAGATACTGCAAGAAATAAATCTGTTCTTGTTTTATCATTTCGGCCAATCAGCATGGATTATTATCCCATATTATTCTAGCAAGCTAAATCTGTACAACTGCTTCCGACAGACTGGCCCGTCTGGGTATAAGGCCTTAACACCTACAGTTCATTGCTGCAGTGCTGGGGCTTGGGCATACGGTAGCCCTTCTGAAGTTGCCTCACCGCCGCCTGGGCTGTCATCATTGGATACGGTCTGGCTCCTGTCGAGAATAAGAGACTTGAGCAAGGTTATACAAGCATATTTCTCTCACACAACGTACGTTGTTGAAAATGACAATTCTGTACAGGTATTTTGTCGACGAAATGCATGAACACTTTCGCTCACCAAGTGTTATGATCTCCCACAACAATACCCCAAAAGACCATACGTCACTCTCTGTTGTGTACACGTCATCTAGTAGGGATTCCAGTGCCATCCACCGCATAGGAAGGGGACCTTGTGTTTAAATACGGAGAACACTCATCACTTAGAAAGAGACTCGTAACATCAACAGACTTTGTTAATCAGTCAGCTGAGAAGGCAAAACATGACCTATTTGTTTTATACAAACGTAAAAGAAGATACGAAAACGATTAAATGAAAATTGAGAAGCTGTGTACTGTGAGAATTAAACTGCAACTTACAAAGTGCCTTTCGTAAATCGTTTTTGCTGGATTTAAAGAAACAGTTGGCCTCCGTATGAATAAGGTACTGTTAACACAGCAGTTCACAACAGACCTTGCAGTTGCATGCATTCAAATAATCCGCAACAATATTGTAGCTGTAAAGTTTCATATTGGGTCAGCCCTACTGATGTTAAATAACAATGTAATTTTCGTTTCATATTGTACCTGTGATTGTCGTTGGTAGATGCGGATGTTCATGACGTCACGAGCCAGCCCAAAGTCAGACACCTTGCAAACCAAGTCATCACTCACTAACACGTTACGTGCAGCCAGGTCACGATGCACACACTAAATGGAGACAGCGTGAAAACCACCAAGCAAAATCGGTAAAATGCAATTAAACAAGTCCACACAAATGTGTAAGGATTAAAATTACTTTCTCTCCTGCAGCGGCTGCGTATGAAGTCCTTTACATGTTAATTAATCTTTGCTTTTTCGCTTCTCAGAGGAGAAATGATAATATAACGACTCTTCATATAGAGCCACACTCAGCACAATAGTGCTATATATCATTATTCCAGCTAATGGTCAAGTTCCAGGGGCATCTCTACTCTCTCTTGTGGTCAGAGTATGAGGTACATAAGGATGTGATGAAATGCTAAGATTGTAATTCAACCTGCGTGACGTTCGGGTTTCTGCCCTTGGATTAAATTTGATTGGCAAAAAATCCTTATCTTCCATTATTTTGCACTTTCATTATGGTTCTTCTTCAGCCAAGGTTCTCCCATTAGGTAAAGACAGCATACCTCAGAAGACAAACTTAGTAGAATTTAAAGGCAGACACACATAATCAATTTACACAATTTGCTGGAATTTGATCTATTTAATGAGTGGCATTTTAACTAATTTACCTTTTGTGATGACAGGAACGCCATTCCACTTGCCACATCCCTGGCAAATTTGACCAAGGTCCGTGAAAGAGTTTTGCTCAAGCCGGGCACATTGGAATAACCTGTTCCCCGGTCCTTATCTCGATAACTCAACAGCACTTTCTTGAGGTCACCCTTAGCAAGGTATTCGACAATGACATATACTGGATCTGAAACACAAGAGGTATTCCATCACCGGCACCAAATCGCCAGAAAATGCATTTTGTTGAATGAATTAGTTGAATTAATTATTTCGTCCTTTCATACATCTACCACGTTTTTTCATTAATTAACCAGTGGTCGCAAATGCTGCAATGACTTCATAACAGTGGAGTTACCTTTCTCTTTACAGTATCCAAGCAGTTGAACGACATTTGGGTGCGGACCAACTTTTCTCATGAGGTCCAGCTCTTCAAGAAGTTCCTTCTTATCTTCATTGCTAGCGCCCCCTAGAAGTAAACGAAACGTAAAATTCACACAACACAAAAAATAAGCACAGTACAGATAAATACAAATACATTTTAACTGCAAATTGTTGAATATTTTTTGCAATATTCTAGATACAATCGTTACCTTTGAGAGTTTTAACGGCAACCATTGTCCTCTTTCCGTTTTCCTCGATCCCAACAGCCGAGCCTAGCAGCACCTTTCCAAAAGCACCTCGTCCCAGCTCTTTCTCGATGATTACGAGATCTCGTGGGAATGCGAGATCAGGCCCAACATTGCCGTACACGGTAGCTTTTGATGCCTGAGATACATTGGGATCCTCTTGGATACTCTCGTAGACCACAGCTGGGCTAGTGTTTGTCATCAGAATATCTGGGTTTCGAGAACGAAAACCTTTCAAGATGGAAATGCCTTGCAAAAAAACAAGGGTTATAGTGCTCTGTAATATCTGTCCAAACGAAAATTAGCAAGGGACTAAATCTTGACGCAGAGACCCATAAAAGTGGTTTGAAAAACTTTCTTGAATAAAGTGTACTTGTAGACATTGCTGCTCATTACAGTCACAAAAAAATTCACGTTGCTTAACGTGGCTTTCCCTCCAAAAGCCCACTTGCACATTTCTAATATGTATGTATTTATACAGCCCTTGCTTCGGAGGTGTGCTGTTCATATCCAGTTCAGGGCCTCCTTACCTTGACTCCTTTTCGCGACTTCAGATGCACTTTGAAACGGCTCGTCTGGATTCAGATAATCGCTGCTACATAAATAAATCAAAATACGTCAGTAACTCTGATGCATACCAGGTTACAAAGTCAGACTTGGAAAGTGCAGTGGTGACGTATGAGTATCTAAAATAGGCATTTTTGAGCACATAAACTGTTCATGTACTTGTGCGTCAGAATACATTGCAGAAAAGGTGGGGGCTGGCTAGGTAGCAGTGTTAACCTAGTCCAAGTAGAATTTGAAAGGTGGGAAAAGATCTCTGTCCAGAAGTGAGAGATTCTAAATTTGTGGTCTTTTTAGAGTGAAGTCCTCCGGAATACTTCTGTAAGGATCTTTATAGAGATAGACCTAGCTGACGAGCATTATCGTCTAAATGGATACTGTATCGCGTTGTCTCGCAGTTACTTGCAAATTCGCTGGGCATCCCCTGGTGCTTATCTGTTGGCATGTAACAATACTTTATACCCCGGACATGAGTTGATAATTGAAGGAAAGAAAGCTGCTAGCCATTTCCGCCACTGTTTGCCCAACTATAGGTTTTGGGGAGAGGGAACCAGTCCATAGGTGATGAAT